TCGAGGCTCAGAAAGCCATATTCGATTCAGCTATCCGCTTACTTACATTTACTCGATCGCTTTGTCTGAACTATTTTGTAAAAATGAACAGAGAATGAATTGAAGGATATTTGTTTGAGATGAATTCCCTACGTGGTTATCATTTATTAACCAACAAAATACACCAAAACTATGTTAACAGTAAAGGTTTGGAAGCAGGGCAGCGAACATAGTTTTTCACACATGCCCATCTGTCGCGTCGGCTGAACGTTCTTATCCCGACTGATAAGAGAAGTTACCTAATACATGCAGGTGTGACAGCTAACATTATTTTTCACACCCGTGCAGTTTACCAGTGTCATTCCGGGAGAGCCAGGTCAGTGGACAAAAGGCCAAAGATATCGGACTGATAGCATCGCGGACACTACATTTCACACCTCTGCAGCTTACCTCGCTACTTCCGCCTTACACGTGATCAGTGCAGCAGTATGTCGAGTAAAAATTTGATTCCACGTGTTATTCCACGTTTCATGTTAATATTAAAGTTTTCACTAACATAACCAAAAAAATCGACAACGTACCTCTGCTACGAACTTATTTTGGGCTCTAAAAGCTGCTCTCTTCTTCCTTTCGACGGCCGCATCATGCACACATCCTACAGGTAAGACTCTCGTCGGCAGCGCTCTGGCATTTACTGTCGCATTTTGGTACTCCGAAAAATCGAATATACTGGGTACAGCATCATCTTTTAGTTTTCTCCGTGCTTTTCCACCGCACAATTCAGCTCGCAGGTCACGTACGAAGCATTCTGGCTCGAAGTGGTCGCTACAAATCCTCGCGTGTTTTGACACTGTGCTGGGATTTTTTAACTTCAGAGAATTGAGCCAAATTTTACGTTTTGCGGCATCCGCAGGCAGGATATAATAGCAGATGTCTTTCTTATCGTAACCTACATTACGGCACCCGGGAACAACACAACTTTGCGGCATTTTGTTTTTCTGACACCTGGATGTTTAGTCACCTACTGCATAGCATATACTATTACTAGTACAGCTGTAGGAAGCTACTACCCAGGTTACGTCACTAGAAACTGACCAATCAGAATTTTCTCATCTAAATCTCATCTTTTCTCTCTAAAACTTAAAAAGAACAATTTTTTGACGTCGATATATAGTTTTTATATTGTAAAAAAAAGCAGTGAACGCTCTGTGTTCCTAGAGCACAGTAGGCCTTTAAATCAATATCCCAAAAAATTGTCATTATTTTCATTTTTGAATAGAAACTATTACGGATGCTTAATATGCCAATATAGTTGAATTTCCTAATTCCCTGTGTGCCCATGAAAAATGATGTAATACTCTTTCTCGTTCATGTATGACGTCACTGTTCGAATATCGACGTTCCGCATAAAAACCCAGAGCTCTCTGTTTCTGCCTAAGAAATACTAGTGGATAGGAATTGAAGTTCGTTTTAGAATACTGAACATTTTCTAAAACTAAAACGTCAGACACAAATGAAAATGTGGACATTTATTTCGCCATTCTTGTATATTAGCATTTTATTAAATGGCTTTGCGTCCTCTAAAAAAATACAAATAGGTAAATTTAAAAAGTTATTCGAACAGAATCTCTGCATTATAGGAAATACGGAGGAGGTTTATTATGTTGGAAGCGTAGGTGAATGTTCCAATGCCTGTTTGTCCAATCCGAGATGCCAGTCCTTTAACTGGATACAAGTTGGTGTGGAGAAATTCCTTTGTGAACTGATCAGCGAAGACCCAGAGAGATGTGGGAGCACCACTATGATGACGCCTGGGTGCCAGAGTTACAGAAAAGTAAGTAAGACAGAAAACTCCAGAAAAAAAGCCAAAGTTTCTATGATACGGAAAAAAGGTAATTTTCAATTATATCGTAAATGTATCTCTCCCTCTCTCTATATAAATATGCCTTTAAAAGGAAATGCGGAAAGAGTATTTAACAGTTCAAAAAGGGAATATTTACTTTAGATCAACGCTTTATTACCTCAGGTCGTTTGCTACTACTTACGTTTCGTTTAATTTGATGTATGTTCAGTTCAATTCAATATTGTTCACTTATACTTGGTACACGTTCTAGGTAGCTTTCAAAGTGAACGTATCGGGAAAAGGGGCGTTTCGCGGTAAGTGAAGAACTTTAATCATACTCCAGCGTTAAAACAGTTTAATAAAATACAAGTGCAGTCCCGTGAAATAAGTCTGTGCTGTTTGATTGCCTTGTGTTACTATCTACGCATTTTGTATTTTAGTGGCAATGGCACAATTTTCATTTGCAATGGTTCTTTCATACTGGTACCATTATATACATACAATTGTATGTATACATTAAATTGGTTTCTTGCCCCTGTTGTTCCTCTGAACAGATGTAGGAATACTTTTTATTACTATTAATATTTCTTTTTTATTGCTTTAATTTTTGAAAAAGGTCCACCGTTTCAACTTTACTGTTTTGTAAAAATTTTGTTTCCCCTCCGTTCCAAATAGATTGCTCAGAGATCTATACATCTGGGCTGACATCTCCAGGAGTGTATAACATCCAAACAGATGGCGCCACTACAACCTTCCCTGCTTACTGTAAGGACGGCTGGACAGTCATTCAGAGAAATTTAGGAGATGAAGATTTCAAAAGAGGTGACGCTGTCAAATTAGAACATTTGAATTTGCTTAGCTTGCTTTTTAATTCTTTGTACTTAAAATATGCGTGTGCCTGTGTGCTTGTTTAACACATGCTATTACCGTTCTGGGTACGTACATGTATGTAATATGAATATGCATCATATGTATATGAATAATAGTAATGAATAACAGCCAGAACCGTAGGCAATATGCCTCCATAAAACACTGATATTTACGGATTTTTCATGTATTACGTATATTTCAGATTGGAAAGGATATAAAGAGGGATTTGGATGTCTTACAAAAAGTTTCTGGCTGGGAAATGACGCAATCTATCGCCTTACTAAACAGTCCACTTATAGCTTGCGTATAGAAATGATGGGCAACTGGTAAGAGAACATTTATCTGAATATACCGTATATCACCTTAGAAAATGCAAAAAAACATCGATTGTTAGCGTACAGATTTCTTCAGTTACCCGTACAAACATAAAGTTATGAAAATAGCTTAGACTGAGACATAAATGTAATAATAATATTTATTTTCAACTACATGGTACATGTTAATTATAAAAATGGTAATTCCAAAAAAAAAAAA